GAGAGAGAAAAAACAAATAGAGAAAGAGAGGAGAAATAAAAAAAAAGAGAGAGCATATTGATTTGTCATTAAAAGAAAATATTAATTGGTCTTTTTTTTGTTTTGTTGTCTAAGTAAGATTTGTTTATCAAAAAACCATACACTAGTGCAGAATTGAGCTTTAACGTCACCCCGTAAACGTTGGACCACAAAATAACCAACGTAAACTATTGACCGGTGACATTTTCGTAAATAAGAAGACATGTAGACGTCGGTTAGGAGGGGCACCGACGTCTATAATATTATAGACGTCGGGGCCCCTCCTAACCGACGTCTTAATGCTTGACAGGTAGGTGAAAAGTCATTTTTTTCCGCCATAGAGACATTCGATCCCACCACCCCGACGTCTATATTCGATTATAGACGTCGGTGTCAATCCTAACCGACATGTATATGTTTGACAAGTAGATGAAAATTTATTTTTTTTCGTCGTACAAACGTCGAATCACGCCATCCGATGTCTAAATGGCCTGATGAAAAGTTGTTTTGGACGTCATATTAGTGAGGGCCCCGACGTCTAGGCCATAATAGACGTCGGTTCACCTGGGGATCCGACGTCTAATTTGTTGTTAAATCAGACGTTAAACGTGCTGTTACGAGCACTTCAACGTTTTCCTTCTCGCCTTTTCTCTCCGCGGCATTGCTTTTCCAGGTGCGTTTTTGTCTCTTTTGAACCGTTTAAACGTACTTTTATTCCGATTATATTAGTCTTTGGTTGATTATCTTTCATTTGAACCGATTAAAATGAGTTTTTGTTGTATTTTTGTGCAGTTTTTCTCGTGTCTTTAGGTAACGTTGTACTGAATTCTCCCTTTGCTAGTTTCCTCGTAAGAAAAACTTGCGTCTTTTGCATGTCTTATAGCGTTTCAACCCAAAACCGAACTTCTGTCCTTGCGTAGTTATATTGTCACCGTTCGTTTTCATTGGCTGTTTTAATGGAACTAGGCAAGGACCCAGATTCGGTTTTCAGTTGAAATGCCATAAGATATCCAAAAGACGCAACATTTTCTATGACGAAACTAGCAAAGGAAGAAGGTGCTACTACTCTATCCAAAGACACGAGCTGTAGTAGACGTCGGTTAATGCAATGTCCGACGTCTATGGTGCCCTTTAGACGTCGGACATTGCATTGTCTGACGTCTATGAAGCCCTTTAGACGTCAGGGTCATGCAATAACCGACGTCTATAAAGACATCGGACCTGTTTGAGTCCGACGTTTGATTATGTCACCCACAAAGACGTCGGTTCTGGAACTGACGTTAGAAGGCCAAAATAACAAACGTTAAATGTCCTTTCTGCACTAGTGATAACATCAACAACGATGATAGAAAAAGAAGACATAAACTCAAAAAAACTTGTTTTTTATAATCCGTTAAGCTTTTTTGAAAGGTTAAAAGAGATTATAGGTACTTATGCTTTCATGAAATAAGAATTAAAAGCTTTTTTTTTTCTTTTCAAAACTTAGCAAAATTTTAAAAATAAAACTTAGTTCCTTATGTGAAAATGCTCATCTTATATATAGTCTTTTGTGAGTGTGTGTATATATAATATATGTATATATTAGAGTATATAAGAATTAAATTAAATTAAATTATGAAAGCTATTAATATTAGAGCATACAAACATCATCAAACATCTATAATCATAGTATTACAAGGACAACAAAGATAATCAAAAGCAAAGATGATATAATAGTTAAACTATGTTCAAGCATTAAAAATAATAAGACTCTCCTGTAATAACATAAGGATACGAATCAAAGTTAAAAAGTTTATAAAGTCCAAAGTTGTATAATGTATATAAAATTGTATCTCTATATACTTATCCCACTTTCATGTGATTTGGTTTGGAATGATAATAATCTGAAACAAAGAGTGCATGTTTTAGGTACATTTTCTTTACTTGAACAATTGTTGCACGCATTTGATGAAACAGTTTATTAGGCAAAACAAAAGCGTGAAGAACTCAAAACAAGCAATCGGTCCTTTCAAATTCGAATAGAATTGAAACTGTGGTTGAATGGTATATGTAAGATTGATCAAGAAGCAAGCGGTGCAGAAATTTGAATGCAGTGGCAATTGCAGCAGCTGAAGAAACTTTGATCAGTCATACTGTGATGTTCATCACGCAATTGAATTCTGTTCGGTGCAATAATTAGATTTCTCACAACGTTGTTGTGCAGTGATTGAAGCAAAGTTGATTGGTATTAGCTTGTGTCGGTGTGTAGAATTGATTAGACTCTGCTATTGAATTAGTTCATGTGATGAATTCAAAGAAGTGCAATCCCTTGTGAGTTTCTAGCAATGGTGATTGCTGGTAATTTTCTATCCACACTGTTATTTTTTTGACTAAGTAAAATTGTGTGAAGTATTAAGTTGGACTGTAATATCATATAAAAAAATTATAAATTTATTATCATAAAGTTTTAAGTTAAAAAGTAACATAAATTCCATGTCTGTGTCTATTCTTGCGAAAGCAGTTAAATTCTTTAATTTGATTGAAGATATGAAAATTGGTTGGAGCATATCACAGCTGCTGCTGAATGTGGCAAGAAAATTCCCTTGTTTAATTGATTTCATGCAATCCTAACAATTGAATCTGCAATTGATAAGCATCTGATGGAGTCAAATTGAAAGAATTGCAAATAGCCTTCACTTAAATAAATTCTTGAGTGAGTCCTAATTTAAAAATATTTTCCCAGTTGTTTTAAATTTGCAGTAGAAACATATCTATGTGAAGATGATTTAATTTGAATAATCTGTCATAATATGTAGATCCATAATTAACGATACCTTGTATTAAAAAATTTACCACGATTATTGTAGTCAGTGAAAATTGTTATTTTCTTATTCTTCTTCTTTTCCATTATACATACATCATATTAAAATCATATAAAATCTCTCCAAGAACCATTTTAAAAACCTTTAGGTGCAGTTTAATACATTAACATATTTATCTATTATAATATATATATATATATATATATATATATATATATATATATATATATATATATATATATATATATATATATATATATATATATAGGGTTAAATATGTTTTTAGTCCTTAAACTATTGGCCGTTTCTGGTTTTCGTCCCTCTTTCAAAGTAAGGTACAATTTGGTCCTCATTCTTTTCGAAACGTTCGTTTTAGTCCTCGAAAACTAAACATTGTTTAAAAATTTGGTCCTCATTTAGCAACAAATGAGGACTAAAACCAAAATTCCGAGGACTAAAACGAACGTTTCGAAAAGAATGAAGACCAAATTGTACCTTACTTTGAAAGAGGGACGAAAACCAGAAACGGCCAATAGTTTAGGGACTAAAAACATATTTAACCCTATATATATATATATATTCGAGTTATTGAGATGCTAAATAATATTTTATATATTATCTCCTAATGTTTCAGATGGTGTTACAATATACATTTATTATAAGATATAGATCACTTGTAATTATCTGCAAAATATATATATATATAAAAAAAATATATATATATATATATATATGTTAATTCAAAGAAATCTATAATGTTTTAAAACTATATATAACACCGTGTACAATATTATTCTATAGATGAAATAAAATCAATTTCAACTATTTTTATAAATAAAAATATTATTTCGACTACTAAAATTAAAAGTAAATTGATTTTTTTTGAACTTTAAATAAAAATACATAGCCACATTATTAATTTGAATATTGTAAAGGAGAAGATTTTCATTTACTTAAGAAGTTGATATCCTTGTGATTTTTTAACATTCAAAACACAAACAAAAACCTCTAAAACTAAGGAAAGGAAACTTTATTTTATTGTGTTGTTCAGAAAAGCGAAAATGATGCACATGACTTTTTACTGGAGTAAGAAGGTGACAATCTTGATCGATTCATGAAAGACCGATTCCTGGATGAGTTACCTTCTGAGTCTATTTGCATGTCTCGTCATTGTCACATTTTACCAGTATCTCGAAGCTTGTCACTAGCTATTGGAGGCCGTCGCGGACAGAGATCCGGATTCCGCTTCTGTGTGGTATCGTCAGAGATGAAAGGAGATTGGGAGTTAAGTTGGCGGAAGCGGTTCTGTTTGGTGTGAACTCGGGGATAGGGTTTTTGTTGATGTTGACAATTATGTCCTTCAATGGAGGAGTGCTTGTGGCAGTTGTGGTGGGTCTTACTATTGGTTATTTTCTGTTTAAGAACGAGGAGGAGCGTGATGCTCTTGTTGTTGATAGTTCCTGTGCCAGTGCATAGAGTTTCATAATTTAATGTGGTTTGTATTTGTAACTAGATTGGTTAGTCTTCTTGAGATATGTTGTAAAGAATATTTTTTTGTTAGGGACGAATTTTTTAATTGTGAGCTATGGTAGTGGAAACAGCATGAATAGGAGGGCTTTGATTCTGGCTATATTATTTTGAAGCCATTTTTTAAAAAAAGAAATAAACTATGCACAATTCTACATCGGGTTAAGTATGAGAGATTTTTCTTTTTATTTGATTGAAAAAGCAAATATAAATTCAAAAACTCAATTAAAAAGAAAATTATTTGCACTTGATTAAAAGTTTTCAAATAATTTAACTAGCCAGCCAAAATAATTTTATTTTCTTATACTCAATCGCCAGCCACTACTGGAAGCATTCAAGGGAAGTGAAACCCGACTGTATGTATCGAGCTTGTGTTCTTGTTAATCATACACAAAAGTGGATGATAGGTATTAGTGGAACGTTTTAGAATGAAAAGGCGTTTTAGAATGAAAAGGCGCCGGATCACCAGGAGCAAGGGTCCCTGTAAACAAACTTAAGGTTCTGGTTGTTCGGTGAGAAAACAGAGATTTCCAAAATACTTGCCCCGCAAGTCATTTTAAATTATTGCTTCACTTGCATCAACTTCAGGGGAATTTATTCCTTTTGTTGTCCAGATACAAAACCTAAATGATTTTATTTTGGGTTAGAATAAACTATACATATGGAAAAAAGAATAAAGAAAAGATATGGATGGGCATGTGTTTAAAACTTAATACTTTATAGGTTGAGACTACATACACAGCAAATTTAGGGGGAAAAATGTTCAGCAATTTGAAACAATCTGTAAGTGCATCTAACCTATACATACAGTGATCCTATGTGTCAAGACTTCTTAAAGATAAATCACATGAGAGTTTGAGACTTGCTAAAACGATAAAAGCATTTTCTGTAGTCCCAAGAAGTCTCAACTAGCTGAAGCAGGTTCCAAATTAAGTTTTCCATCCTGTGATATGCTAGAAAAGGATCACCAGCACCATAAATTCAGTGACGAATGCCAGGGTTCACATAATTGAAGCAGCAGAGCAACAAACAGCCTGGAATCTTTGCTGCCCGCAGATCATACGTTGTCTATAAAAACAGCCTCTCAGTAAACTAGAATAAGAAATGTCACATGGTATGAAGGATCACAATATGTCCCATTCACTGTTATTGATCTTCTTCCGTTTTGAACAAAACTAGTTCACTTTCTTGCTGTAGATTCTTATACTTCAAATTGTTAGGGAGCCATCTGGATAATCTCTCAGGCCAGAACCTGGCATGAGATAAATGAGAGAAGCAAATTTGGTTACATGTTTTAAATTAAATGTACTGCATAAAGCAAAAACAAATAGGCATCTATAATTAAATGGTAAAAAAATTGAATAAATGATTTACGTCATATGTACAAGGTTGAAAAATGAAACAAAAGCCTAACATATTTTGGACCTACTGCACCAAGTACCCCCAAATTATGAGCCCATCAGTAGACTAATAATTATCAGTTTACCAAATTGATTCCACAAAGACTGTTGTTGCACACAGAATTTCGGTGAACTAGTTCAACACAAGAAATGACCCATTGCATGGCAAATAAAGAGTAAATTGAATGCTCACACCATAAATCATTACTTTTGAATGCATTTCTCTGGCTCCCTAAATGGACTTCCTATGCCCAAAATCCCCCTCACAGGCGGGCACCTTTCAAATTTGTCTCATCAAAGACACTTAGGAATGTAAGATAAGTGAAATGGACAGTACTCAAGTTTTCAAGTCTCTGCAAAAGACTAAAGACACCATAGTCTTTACAAAAATTTGACTAGTGCAACACTCCCCACTAATCAAAAGTTTCATGTTATCAAGTTCTTCAATAATTGGTTATATGTAGGGATGGTGAAGCAATCTATCTCTGAATTGGTTACAAGTCTTTAAAAGGAAATCTCGAGACAGCACAACCCAACCCACCCCGAGGCAGCTTGTAACCCTAGTTTTCCTTTCTGTTTGAGTTTTCATTCTGTGGTTATAAACCTAACCCAGCCCAGTAATACTCTTAGAAAAACTACGGTTGAGTCATCCAACCCAACCCAAAACCAAACAAAAATTAATAAAATACCCCACATACACACCCAGCGCTGCAACCACTTCTCTGTTTCACCTACCCACTGACACCACCACCTCCGGCAGGTTGTATCATGACCCACAACAACTACAGGACTTAAATAGCATAGGATGGATCATGGCCGATATCAGGATGGGTCTGAGATAATTTAGCTTATCAACTAACCTTTTGTATCTCAGGATCAGAATAAGGTTTCCCTTGGTTATGTACAAGTCTGACACTTAAATCCATTGATGTGTCTACAAGCTTAGCATTTATCTTCCCTAATTCTTCTAGAATGTTGAGCGCATTTTTTGTAGAAGATATGACCAAATCGTCATGCGATTGTCGCACTTCTATACCAAGGAAATACCTTAGATGTCCAAGATCTTTTGTCTGGAATTTTTTAGCAACATATTGTTTTAGTTGTACAATACCAACCTAATCACTACCTATGATAACAATGTCGTCCACGTGTACAATGAGAAAGATACATCCTTGGGGAGAATGACAATAAAACAAAGAATAATCAGCATCAGTTCGTGTTATTCCAAACTGTTGGATGACTGTTCAAACAATGCATGTGTCATTCCACATGCATGGGGTGATTACCTGGGCCATTAAGAACCAACACCGGTAACACACCGTATTAAATTACTCCCCTTAAACAACAAATCCAAGAGGTTGCTTCATGTAGACTTTTTTTATCAAGGTCATCATATAGAAATGCATTTTTTTCTCAAGTTGAAACAAAGTCCAATGATGAATAGTTGCAATGGAAGAGAGAAATCAAATAGACGTCCCTTTGGCAATAGGAGAGAAAGTGTCAATATAATCTTGCTCATAGATTTTGTGTACATTTTGAAAACAAGTCTGGCTTTTATAGTGATCAATGTTACCATCAGGTCCTGTTTTAAAAAGTACACAACCATGTATGCCCAACAACTGATTTACCAATTGGACAGAAAGTAGTTGCGTTGAGAACTACTTTTTGTTGTACCTGTGAGTTGTACCTAGTTTTGTATCTAGAATTATAATGCAGTCCTATGATCTTTCATCTTCTCATTGTATCAGATTTCTATCATTATAAATAAAAGATCATACAAGGAATATTTCAAGTCCTCTAAAATATATCTTTCTCTCTTTTTTAATCTTAAGTTGAGCCCACTTATCTGGTCCAGTTCTCTCTGGTGCATTCTTGTCACGATTTTCCTTCCACCGCCGCCAGCCACCATCACAGTTTTGTCTAACGACCAAGGTATCTGGAGCACCTCCCTGAGTGTCAGCCAACACCATCGATCCCGAAGCTTATCTCTACTCCCTGTGTCGCCATGCGTGCTATCTGTCCTCACTGCTGCTTGGCACGTGACATCCATGCACTGTCTTCCACACACCGGAGATCGTCATGCCACCTCGACCGGGCTCGCTAGACCTCCGCCTCCCTGCTTTGGCCCCTGGTTGCCCTTTTCCAACGTGTTTAAAGGATTATCGTTTCCTAGTTAAACCTAGGGTTTCTCTTTTATTGTTCTTATTGGATGGTTTAGTGGTCTCTTTTGGTTTCCTCAAAAATGTCTATTAGAGCTATTGTTTCATTCTACGGAAGTCCTTCCATTACTTCTAAGAAACTAAATTAAAAAATTTACCTCTCTTGGTTTGCCTCTCTTGACCATAAAAAATTGCATGATGTGCTATACATGAAGTATAACCAATAATTTTCTCAAAGATACGATATCAGAGATGAAACTAATCTTATTGTTTGGCATCACAGCACACACTGTCATCATCCCTTGTGTTGCCTTCACAGTCACAGACGCTCACTCTGTTCTGTTTAGTGTTTTTTCTGTGTTTGTATTAAGCCTCTATAAATTTATTAGTTGTTTTATGAGTAATTTTATGAATTGAGAATCTATTTTTATTTATGTATGGGATCCTATTACTTAAGACTTATTATGTATTATTTTTATTGTCTATATTATTTTTAATGCATGCACAGGTCTATGAATATAATTTTTTGTATAAGCATAACTCTTATGAGTCCAGTTACGATCTTTGAGTTATAACTTTTTATTCCCCTTCCAATCCTCTTACAATTCTCGAGTTTGACAACACTGCAATAGAGTATTCAAGTGCTTGATTCTCTCCTCTTGACAGATAGACTTTAAGGGTGGGTTCCTCAACTGCTTTGGTGTTTATCAGTTGTTATCAGATATGGTTGTCTGTGTCTCAGAAAGGGTAACCTACAAAGGATTTTAACTGGTAGAGTATTCTAACCAACATGAAAGTTGAGTGAAATGCTACTATGTGTCATAGAATGTTTGCCACTGAGGTGTCAGCACTCAAGGGGTTCTATAATAGAGACCTGTGTATCATAGGGTGTTTAAGAGTCACATCTAGTAATACATGATGTTCAGCAGAGTGCTTAAGTGTTTGGTTCTCTCCCCTTAACGACTATACTAGATTCCCCAAGTCTTAAAATCTTATCAAAGTTTATACATTAAATTCAGAACATGGGAGAAGATATTACAACTAGACTGACGTTAATTAGAAAAAGAAATCCAGTGTTATCTCTCAAAGATGAATAGCCAGTACTTACTTGTCCAGTCTTTCACAAATTGCCCGACGTACAGAAGAGTTGAGACCATAAGCAATTGAGTTGAAGAGGCCCTGCAGTATGTAGATAAAGTGAGATAGCTTAGCAAGATACAAAGTATCTGTATTTTTCACAAAGTTGAACTTCATTGATTATCACAACATCAAATCAATACCAATCACCAAGGGAAGCCATTACATTCACTGAAAAAAAAACGCATAACATACCAGTAAAAAAGGGGAGGTGATTAACTGAAGGGATACAATGCTGATAGAAAATGTTCTTACAATTGTTTGGCATCATCTAGTGTTTAAATTGTAAGAAATAACCTAATGTTTTTCATGTTTCCCCAAAGAATAATCGTTGAGCAATTTCAGCTTTGACAAGCACAAGATTAGATAGCAAGATGAGGAAGTTAAAGTAATAGGGAGAAAACAAGAGTAGCAGGTTAACTGCTAAGCTACAACACAAATCATGCAGGACCGGGGCAAGACACGTCCACCAGTAAAGCTGACACAATTAGATTAGTAATAAAAGTGCACATCTACATGCTGCATAAAATGGAATAAAGTCAAACCACAACAAAACCTACGTACCATTTAACTTATTGCATTTATTGTGGTTCAGTGACCAAACACCCAAACATACCCTTTTATAGGCTTGTGAAATCAGAATTTTATAATTTAAACATGAGATGTCAAAATGAATATTTGTATTTTTAGCTCAAAGATGTCGGAAAAAATAAACTTTAACAAGTTGTACCCACATCTTTACACCAATCAAGTCAAATGCATAAATACATCAAAGCTTTAATCATTCCATTGGTTCTTATTCTACTCATTTTCACAGGTACATCTTAAACATTTTAGTTGCTACACCAAGAAACTAATTGTTCTACTCTCCAACATTCCCTTTTTAATCCACTACACACCATTACATCTAAAAAATATAGGGACTAAAACAAAATATGTATCAGTGATATAAGTTAGATAATTCATTTTACTATGTTATTAGCATATAGTAGTGAAGATGACATAAGTGTGATCAGGTGGGTGCTAGGAGATCAGTGAAGGTGACAAGTTTATAAGAGAGGATTTGAAAGCAAAGTACAATCATGCTGAGTCTACAGAAAATAGAGCTAAATATAAAATAGTATGGTTACTTGCTGATACCATAAGAGCAGCTGTTCCAACATCAAGAAATGTGAGCCAAAAGATTTTATGGTTGGGTTCAAAAAAATCATGAATACGGTTAATAGTTCCAAAAGCCCATGATCCAATCAGAATTAGTGGATAGTATCCCCAGCGATTCAGAGCCTGCAGTGTAAACCAGAAAACACTACAGATCGGTGAGAATGTAGATGCAACTGAGAATAACGGTTTCCTCTTAAGTAATTTGATTTAAGCATGAATATTAATTTACTTGAGAAAATCCCAACAACAAAAACTTAAGTGGTAAGCTTCTCTAAACCACATTAGAAATCATAGAACAGAAAATTAATTTTATTTTATTCATGAAAAGTTTGGTGCCAAATACATTATAATATACATATATTGTGCGACAACTTCCCTTATGGTGGGTTTCATTGAGAGGATGAGTGAAGATAGATAAAATTATAGATATCTAATAGGAGAAAAGGAGAGAAATAATAAAAAATGGTGGACCCAGTGTACTATTTCTCACCTATTTCTACTAGTGTCTCTATATCTTTCATCATCTCTTCTCTATTTCTCTTCAACCAAAAACTTAATTTTCATTTTATTTCTCATCTATTTCCACTCTACCTACTTATTTCCATTTAACTTGTTTTCTACCCTCTCTACCAAACACTCTTATTTCTAAACAAACCTAGTCTAAATAAGGCATTTGCACGAAAAGAATAGATTAAAATCAAAAAGCCTCATCACAGAATGTAAATCATAAAATAAAGTTAGTATGGATCACTACAATATAGCTGCTAGAAACAAATAAAAGTGCATCAAGTGTTTTCTTTTTGATCATTTTTTTGGGGGAGAGATCATTTCCCAATACATGTATATGGATCCTTATATTTCAAATCTTGGATTCTGGTGACAATAGAATAAAATACCCTCATGTTATCTCTTGTATCTGACACGAAAGTTTGGCTTGACATACCAACCGCCATCTGAAATTCCACGAAACAAGAAAATAAGGTCTCAAAAAATATGCTTAAACAAGCAATTTTTGTTTGGGAAATAATCAGCAAAATTTGGTACATACACGGGTTGCATTATTCAGCATGCGAATTACTTGAAAGTATGTGAACCCATTATACAGAATTGCACCCCAGAGTGGCATGTAAAATGTTACAAAATGAACCGCCTGCATACAAAAAGGAATTACCTAAGGAAAATTAGCAAACTAATGACTAATCTGTAAACAAGACACACGTACACAACATTTTAACACTGCAAAGTTGCAGAAAATTGGGAGATCATTGTTCTTATTCTTAATCATCATTAACATCACACACTAGATAATGCCACAATTACGAGCATCCTATACCCTAAAAAAAAGGCAGAGAAAATGTTGTATAGAAAAATCATCTGCTTAAACATTTCTTGCATGGATTTTTTTTCTTTCATTTTAATAACTACATATTTGATTTTGAATAATAAAGAGTTGCTACAAGGAAAATATTCTTCTCACAGGAAACCAAATCCTTACTTTCATTTCCAGTCCATTTGTATTTAGAGAATGGCAAATTACATAAGGGGGGAAACTTGACACAACCAGGTTTCTAGAATATCAACACAATTATTGAAAGGGGATACCTGACTTGGTATCATTTTTACTTGAACTAAAACACCTAATGTTATAGTTTTACCATAACTTAAAAGGGGTGAACAAATCGTAATTACAAATTGATAACAAAAGCCCACACCACCACAATTTACCCCTTCCTACATTTACGACAGAGAACTATCATAACTTTTGAGTCAATTAAAATTACATTTGAAGTCAATTTACTTTTAATTTTTTTAAATTTAAAAGGAAACTACCCTGCATTGTAGGAGCCTCTTAAATTAATTGAAAATCCATGTATACAATATGTATAATGAAAGAACCAAGAGGGAATAACAGAAATTTCCAGGAGAAATATAAAAGCATTGTGGTATGCACTCCTAGTCTCCATTTAATACTTGCCTTCCCTGTGCGACCTGTTTGAGTCCAACACCATGCACCTAAATGTCTATGGTCATTACCGATAGAGCGCATAACAGTCATAACCAAGGAAGTACCTATAAATGCAAAAGGATTTACCAGATCAGCTCTTAGAATTGAATGTTGCTAATGAAATAATTGAGCTTAGAACACAGAAGGAAGCGCTATTACTCTTGGTACATAACCAAGACCTAAGGCCATTTGATTAGCATTAATTTGGTCTAAAAAATCTTTTTCAGATTAAACAATATGGGGTTGTGAAGTTACAGAATGTGAAGATTATGGCAAACTAAGCTATTTCTTAAAACGAAGGTTAATAAAAGTTGATTTATACATAGCTGCATACCCCAGACAAACAAGTGAAACATGGCCTCTAAATCTTCAACATCAGTTTTGTGTTTTACAACAGTGCGGTGCAGGGTAAAAGCAATTGTTGTAGTCCATAGAAAAGATGCCACACAAAAGAAATGTGTGCTATAGCCCTGAGCATAACAAAATAAACCTTTGAACGGGTCCCTGCATCAAAATGAAACTTCCATCAATCACATGATGAAAAACTTCAGTTGATACATACATTTAAAGAAGCATGTATACCCTATTATGCTGAAGAAACTGCAAAGCATATCCTGCAATTGACAAAAATGTAATAAAAAGAGCATTACGGATCAGAAAAAAAAACACATGGATAACCAAATAACCAGTGCAAAGGAACAGACACATAAGCTTCCTGGAATGTTAAAGGATCTACTTCTTTCAATTATAGAGCAGAGCATTGGAAAAGCAGAATAAAATGGTTAAGGGCATCAAGAAACAAGAATAAAAAAATTATAAAAAAGTTAGATGCTTAACAAAATATGTTGTCTAGCAATATAACAGTTTTTATCAACATATACTCATAAAGTAGCTTTTACAATTAGAATTGAAGTCAATAACACTCTGGTAACATCTGATAACTTTTACAACAAATATATTGCACTGTTTGGATAAACTTACCAAGAATCACTTGTAGGATAAGAAGAAACCAAGAAAGCAAAGTGAACAAAGTTTTTCCCACAAGTTAAAAAAGTAGCTAATTCATTAGTTAAAATCAAGTTCTGAATAAGCAGAGAAACCTAGCTTATAAACTAATTTTAACTTCCAGAAAAAGCGTAATTCCTCTTTTTTTTCTTATTTTCTTATTTTCAACTCCTCTAAGATTGAGTGTTTTTTGAGAAGTTTATTCAAACAGTGTCATATGTCTACTAGCTTAACACCTAATTTTACTTTTTTTTTTTTGAAAAGTAGGTTTAACTTAACCTTAGGTTCTCCATAATTAAGCTCCTAATTCTAGCGCAACTTGAAGTCACAAGTTCAATAAATTTATCTTCGAAAACAGTTATTTTATGCTCATTCGTTCTAAAAACCTAATCGACAAATCACACCACTGAAAAGAAGCAACTAGAAACCTAGTTCAAAAACAAGCAATTAGGTTTCAAGAAGAAAAAACAAACATCAAGTGTGAAATCGACTATACGTAATTTCAATTGAAGAGGCCAAAGCGCATTGCGCCACGCCGTGTTTGCAAACCGTCCGGTGTTAGTAAACTAACGAATGAAGAATTAGAAGCAAGGATTAAAATACAGAGAGGAGACGCAGGGTTTTAGATCTGGTGAAGGGGAAGCGTACAGCGAGAGCGAGGTAGAAAACAAGCTTGAAGGAGAACTTGCGAAGCTCCTTGAAGAGAAGGTAGCAGAGTACAATGAAGGTGGAACCGGCCAACGACAGGCTCGACGCTCCGGCGTTCACCGCCGTCAGAATCTGGCGGTCGTGCGCAGTGAGAGTACCGCCGTGTGCGACGGAGGCCGCCATTACACGGAACTAGTCGTTATCGCGGATCAGTAGTCACTCTCTTGATTCTCAAGTTTTAACTCACTGGCAAAGGAAGAGAAACAAAGGAGAAAGCCGAACCTTTTTGAAATTTTGTGTTTTTTTAGTAAAAATAAATTAACAATAGTATATGATTAGGGATTTATGTTTAAAGATTTTAATTTTTATGCAAATGGTTACTGTAAAAAATATATTTTGAATTAAATAAATATGTGATAAACAAGTTAGAAGAATTATTAGTTGTTGAACTTTTGGTTTTTCAAAATTAATTTTATGATTTTGGTTCTTTGAGTTTCAAAGTATGAATTTAGAGTTCCTTTCCATCAACTTATTTAAAGCTTTTAATTCACAGTCAAGAATAAAAATCTATAATATTAATAAAAACATCTTTGTCACTTTATTCAGTAATATTTTGTAGTGTACATAATGTACTAGGGGTGGGCAAACGGCCCTGTAGTTTACTCCACTATACAAATTTATAATTAACTATAAATTAGTGTATGAAAACTATACTGAACTAAGTTCAATTAATTGAATTGAATTAAGTATTTTTTTTAGTTAACTATAGTTTAGTCTAGTAAACTATTTTAACTCAAACTAAGGGAATGTTTTGATACTGGTGTTAAATATTAGCATTGTGTCTAAAATTAACAGTGATCCAAATTTTTCTACAAATTGTTTATGAATGATAATACGTGTCAGGCTTTTGCTCACTGCACCCCATAATTATTAATTGTTGTTCTATAATTTTTGAAATGACCATTTTAATTTTTATGATATGTTTTCTTTATTACGAAGCCTTTCGAAATAAGTTTTCTTAAACAAAATTTTTTAAATAAGGTTATTGAAACAAGTTTTTAACAACAATTAGTTTTAAATCTAATTTAATTCTATAAAATCAATAGATCTAAAAATAAGAAATCTTATTAAAATAAGTAACTATGATACTACATGTTTCAACTCATTTTTGAAACAAATTTCTAGAAATTTTTTAGAATCCTACATAAACATCATCTTCCCCTTTTCAATTAGATAATCCAGAAAAGAAGAAAATTACATTTTAATATCTTGGAGATTATACACGAAAACGTGTGTTCATCATTTGGGCACAATGACAAGCTTTCAATGACCACGAGTTGAAAAAAAATTGAGACAAGAGAATGATCTAAACTCCAGTTAACTCCAGTTAACAGTTAACTATACAATAAGTTCAGTATTTTCAAACTAAACTATTAAACAGTATAATTGGTTTTTAGTAAAAATGGTTTAAGTTTTTTAAGTACAAAACCGTATAGATAAACTATAATTTATGGTTTTTAAGTGAACTGTACCCAGCCCTATTTAGAGGGTAATAAACTATACCTCTTATCCTTCTTCTAATTGCTTATACCATTCTCTTCTTTTTCCCTATATATATATATACCTTTTATCTATGCTACTTTGTATGTTACGTTTCCACATATTAATAAAAGTTGTCTTTCTTTTTCTTACATTCATCTTTCGTTCTTTCTCTTTTATTTTTCATTTCTACGTAAGTATATCTTATTACCAAATAACATATTGCATCATATTTATATATGGTGTCATGAGAAATTTTTTAAATTTGGGTGATAGAACGCTTAGAATTAATTAATATCAATTGCATAAATATACGAAGGATAGTGGCTTATCACCAGTTTTGTTAATCATCCCTCTCAAGGTACAAGGAATCATAGATAAAAGACATTCTTTATTTCTTTTTTAATTGAAGTATAAAGTTAAGAATTATATATAATTTTTACTTATTTTATTCAGATCTTATTCAAATAGTTATATGATTCAGTTTCTCTTCATATCCTTGTGAGATATTCTTTGATTCCATGTGGCCTGCTCCACATACTTTTAGACCAATTCAAAGTAACTCAGATATGGTTTTTTTTTCTTCTAGTTTTCGTTTAAAGATATATTTGAGTCTAACCTTTTAAATTTTTTATTAGTCGTGTCATCGTAAATTTTAACTTTTCAAAAAGTGAATCCTATTATTCTTCTTTTCAATAACAATTTGATACGTATTCCAAAACGTCACGTCACAGTTCTCGTTAATATAACAACTTTATATGAAACACGTGTCACATTTCTACTGTGGTGAAGACCATTTTGAAGATTTTATATTACCATAACTACGAAAACCAAGAGAAATAGTTTACAGAATTAAAACAAAATTTAACAATATTTATAAACATATATTTCTTGTTTTTTAAAATAATATTAATAACAAAGTCTAAAGTTTAACAATTTTTTTTTAAAATAATGCGAGAAACACATTATTTTTATCAATTTTTACGGTTAAGAATAGCAATTAAAATACTTTTTCACATTTTTTTTTCAACATCATCATCCTCCGTTATAAAGTTTTCTTATGTTCTTGGAATTCTAACTCTAAACCATGAGTGTTTCTTTGTTAAAAACGCTCAAATTAGTTATATAGTTAATTGATTATTATAATAAAGTTTTAAATTAGCAATAAAATGTAATTACTAACTTTCTTATCTCATACCTCAGACCTGTATTTATAAATTTTGAAATAAGCTTGTAATTAATATAGTTGTAATCATGGTCCAAATATGTGGTAAGTACGTTTTACGTATTTACCTAATTATGGATGATACTTAAAAGGTTTTTAAGTTTTTATGATCATTCAATTGTCTTTGATGTCTCACCAAATGATTACTTGCTGTGAACTCTGATATGTTAGTCCTAGATCACTCAGTCAATATCTGATCAGGTGGCCATACAGTACAAATAGGTTAACACTATTTATAAATATTTAATATCATGTTCTAATGTTTAGTTTTTGGCATAAATTAATATTAAAACTCTCAAGTTAACTATAAATAAAATATATAAATAATAAATAATGTTATACAACTGACTTAAATTTGTATTAATAAATTATAATTTTAACGTTTAATAGTTTTTTAACATCATATCCATAAAATTCATTCACGAAACCAAATAATATAATTGGGATATTCAATTTGAACCATCTTCGAAAAGTGTAAAAAAGAATTTAGCCTTCTCATCCTCTTGTCTCTTTTGTTAGCCATGTTCACTTATTTGTTGTTTGCTACTCTTTGTTATTAAACTGTTGAAGAAGAGTCTAAGATTTGTTTATTATCCCGTCAATAAGATATCAAACGAAAAACATGAATAATATAAAGTTATATTTAATAATATATTAGTCATGTGGTTAACCTTTTATCCATTGACTTAGTATTTTAACCACATATTGATTGATCCGGTTTGATAACACTTATTTATATTGGATGATTGAGACTTATTTGGAGTTGATAGTTATTACTTTCACCAAATAGATTATTGTGTTGTGTATTTTTATATGATATGACCTGAAAAAATAAGTGTTGCAATTGGATTTTGGGAGAAGGGTATCTAGGTCAGCCAATGCATTTTTATAATGATTGATTTAGAAGGGGTTAGCTCAATCTTGATTAGCTTTTTTTGTATGTCACAAATTCAGTAAATAATTATAAGAAAAAACATATGAAAAAAATGATTAAAAATTAAAAATTTTATTGCTGATGGATTATCAATTAATTCATTTTTAACTTGGACAAACTTATTTAATTCATAAGCTAAATAAATCAGATTTAGTTTAATCAATATTTAAAAATACTAAGGTTTTTCAATTCAATATATTTTAAACTCGTAATAAATTGATTTCACTCATGGATTAAAATCTATTTTGACATGTTTTTAATTTTATGTTTACTTTAGTAGTTAATTTAACTCAACATAGTTGATGAAGTGTTAAAATTTATAATGGTAGATGAAATTACTTGAGTGGATATATTAAGAGAAAGTTAAAGTTAGTTTCAAACTTGAAATTTTAAAATAATAGGATTATGAGTTTTTTATTTTTCATTATGTTGTTTAATTTATTATTTCTATTAAAATTGTGTTCACACTTTAAAATTTGGTAATTTTTTCCCTAAATGTATGTTCCTTCAAAAGCGATAAAGATTTCATTGTTTTTCAATCTTGCCATAATTCTTTCTTAGAAAAAAATATTAATAAAAACTCTAATATTTAAGTTAATGAGATTTACATAGATTAATGATACCTTAGAATATGAAGGTGGTTAGGTTGTTAATAATAATCACACCTGAGTGAATGCACGTTAAAATTAGAACAGTATCCTACAGAGTTATGTCCTATTTTAGGAATCTTAGTTCGAAAGCAAAAGACTATTTTCTTTATGTACAAGAATGATTAACATCTCAAAAAATTATCTTTCCATACACATAAATTTAAGGTTGAATTCTTGACCATATGTTTAAGAGACAATCATGTCTCAGTCTTAGCACATCATGTGTTGATTTCTAAATATTAGACTTGAGTGGCACTCAAGGCAAACAAATTAATTGACCAAACTCTTTCAACCATCATAGCAATGACATATTAGCTCCACTAATCATACTAATAACAATATATTAATGGGTAGATTACAGTTTACTGATTAAATGGATTTTTTTTTTGTTTTTTTCACTTTCTCTAAACTATACCTTGAAATCCAAAACCATGTCCAAACATAATCCCAGCCATATTTCTGTCACATACATTACTTGAGAATAGATTTTAGTGTGTATCCTGAACTAGTAGCAAGTGCTTATACTTGTACATTCTTGTGTATATCATCAAACCATAGAAAACTCCATCGTCACTTCTAACAGCTTATGTTCAATTTGATTATCCTTATTCCACCCTAATCATCATTTTGCTGCAGCTCTCTGTTTCTGGCCACAGTCACATCTGATACAACTACTTGCCTCCCCTTTCTTGATTGTGACGACCAAACCGTGCCGTCTTGTAAAATAAAATAACACCATTTTTTTTCTTTTTACCTTTTTTCTATCTGATATATATATATATATATATACATACATATATATATTATATCTACTTTGCTGAGGAGTGCTATCAGCTGCTATATTTTATGTTTGTTACCATTTTCACTAACGGCAACATACACAAAGGGTCCAATGAAAACATCATCAAAGTCCTGAAGTGGCTCCAACACCTTCACCACATCACTCATAGTTGGCCTTGCATTTGGGTGAGGACTCAAGCATTTGAAAGCCAACATAGCAACTTTCATGGCTCCTTTCATGGGAAATTGTCCTTCTAGTCTACAATCTATGATGCTATAAAGTTTTTTCTGATCTCTCAGCAAAGGCCTTGCCCATTCCACTAAGCTCTTCCCACCATTCGACCGAGACTTATCCACTACTCGTCTTCCTGTAAGCAATTCCAACAGCACCACTCCATAGCTATACACATCACTCTTGGTTGTAAGGTGACCTGTGACAAGGCAATGACTCATTAGTTACCTTCATCAAATATAAGTTTCTGTCTTTTTTGACTTAAGAAAATATAGCCTGTTTAGTTGAAAGTTCTGATGCTGTGAATTTTACGTTTGATGAAAGTGACAGCATAAAGGGAGTAAGTTATAGTAATATGTTACGGTGCTGAAATTCTTATTGAGGCTTGTAACATGCTTTTGGGAGTAAGGAATGAAATAGTCTACCTTTTCCCCTTCAAATTTTGGATGTCAATTCATGAAAGAAACTTGGTTAACGTTTTGTATGTTAGTGCATATACCTGTCATTATGTACTCAGGAGCAGCATATCCTTGTGTTCCCATTATGCGTGTTGTTACATATGTGTCTTCCCCTTCAGGGCCATCCTTGGCTAGACCAAAGTCTGAGAGTTTAGCTGTGAAATCCTAGATTTGTAAGGAAAAAAGTAAAAGAGTATAAGTTAATTTCTTGGTATGGAAATTAAGACGATCGAGCAATTAAGAGATGCAACATGAGATCACAGAACATACCGAGTCTAGTAAAATGTTTGAAGCTTTGAAATCGCGGTATATTACAGGCTTATCTGATTCATGAAGGAAGACCAGACCTTTGGCAGCTCCTAATGCAATTTTCATCCTGGTTGACCATGGCATAGCAGCAGAGTATTCTGTTTGTATCACAGCAAAAGAAACTGTTAGTTTATGTAAGAATTCGATTTTTTTTTGTATCAGTAAGAGGGATTGTCCATTTGTCATTAGCATCCAAGAGAACATATAGATTTGAAACAATTATGCGTGCATGACCATATAAAACAGAACAGAACATGTAAAGTTCTAAATCACTTGATGATAATTATTGAGGTTGATCTTACAATCATGGTTGACTTATGAGATACTTGTGATATAATCAGAAATACACAATAAGAAGAGAGAAAAGAAACATACTTCTGAAGAGTTGATTCTCCAAGCTGCCTCTTGGCATGTATTCATACATCAACAGTCTGTGTTCATCCTCATAACAGTACCCAATTAACTTGACAAGATGTGGATGCCTTAGCTGTCCAAGAAATATAATCTCTGCCTAGAAAAGAAATTATGATCAAAACAACAGTTTATTATCATGAAAAGTTAAAAATGGCACTTGAGAAAGCTAACTAACCAGCCACTCCCTGTGACCCTGCAAGCCATCCAAGTCCAACCTTTTCACAGCAACAGTCTGAGCCTTCAAACCAGGCCTAAGTTTGTCATCCACAAAACCCTTGTACACAGGTCCAAACCCTCCTTCTCCTAGCATATTACTCCATGAGAAACTGTTTGTTGCTTCCCTTAGCTCCTCAAGTGTGAATGCATAAAGTTTGGACCCAGCAAAGGAAATTGAAAGATCTTCAATGGCCTGAGTGGAGCTTGAATTGCTCACATCAGATAGACACAGCCTCTGGAAAGATCCTTGTTTCAAAACCTGTTTTTCTGATTCCTCCAGGGGACACTTAACCTTGTAACAACCTAAGATCAAGATCACAGACTTCCATGTGTTCCTTTTAGGACTCATTTGGTCTGTGTGTGAAACTGCAACAACCCTGCTCTGTAACTTTCTTTCACAAGCTACTTCTGATTCTAATAATATGAGAAAGACAACATAAATTTTTTGGAATGATTGATGCTGCAAGGGAAAAAATAAGTGAGAGTTGAGGAATTTTATAAGTAGAAAATTTTCACCTACCACCTAGAGAAAATTTGTGGGAGATTCCTTGTCTTCTAGAACTCATGAATGTGGATGCTACAGCAATACTACACGATATACACGAAGGATTTCTATTTTATTTTTAGGTCAATCAACATGCCTACCTATTATTGACTTCAATCTAACACTAATATATTTTTCACAAACACTTACAAAAACGAAAGTAATGTTATGAAAAAGTGAATTTAATTTGTTTCTCCAAAGTATGGAAAGACTTCATCAAACATGATCGTTGCCGTCCACATATTTTTGTGCTCAGCAAGTGATGCACATTCGCCGAGAAGATCGGAGAAACGAAGAGATATAACTAAATTCCATTAGTGTCAAACCAATAATTCCATTGTAATCTGTTGTTGCACACTTCAAAAAGGTTTTGTTTAATCGTTCATGGGTTGTGTTGAGGACACGTGAATTATTATAAGAAAAGAAAAATGGTTTAAGGATTTTGAGATTTTTTTATGGTTTTATTTGATATGTTCCCGTATTTGGTAGGTAAGGCTCTCTACGTTGTTGTTGTTGTTGTTAGGATGTCATGATCACACAATAGCAACCCGACAATGAACCTATTGTTTTAAATTCTATATGTGATCATCAAGGGCAGTTTCTAGAAGCTTACAACTTAAGGGTTTTCTTTTACATTATTCATATATTTATTGTTATCTTACTTTGGATTCATCGTAGAATTGTAATTAAGGCATGAAACGTTTGAGAGTCAACAGATCGAAGGACTTTGAGGAGGGTTTGGATGTATTGAATCCAAGTGTTTTGAAAGAAAATTTAAAATTTAAAGACGGTGGGAAAAAAATGAAGGTTTGGAAGGTCAAAGAGAAAGGGTGAACCAATTAAGCTAACCCCCACAACCACTTCCATCGATCATTGAAAATGTTGCAAAACAAGAAGTGATCATTTGGAAAATGGAATTCATTCAATGGCTTAAAAGGGTGCTCATTTAATTAGGGTTTGACAATTGCATTGCCCTTTCAAGTTTCAAAGTTTTTATATTAAGAAGTACAAATTGGTTTCATATAAAAAGTTGGAAAGAAAAAGGTAGTGGGGCTGCTACAATAATATTGTGTTAAGGGGTATTTTAATTTTTACATGTTTCTATCAAACTTTATGTTGACGATGCTCTCCTTGGGATAATTTTTTGTAGAGTGACATATTTTTACCGTCAGTTTTTAAAGTACGAAATTGGAGAATTCTTATTTATCAATATAATATAAGTGTAAAATAACATGTATAACTTATTTTTAGGTTATTAAATGTAAAACGAAATAATTGTATTTATAAAACAATCTTAAAGTTGCAATTTTATTTTTTATATTGTATTGGTCATTGAAGTAGTGAAAGTTTTTTTCTTCAATGAACCGAAGATTTTGGTTGGGAGTCTGAATCTGTTAAATCACTGTCATGCTGATAGTGATTAAATATAATTTCATATTGTTTTCTATAAACATTTTTAATATTACATTATATATAAAATAATAAATTAAATACTAGTTTAATAAATCTGACTAAGCAGGGTTAGATGTTGTATGAATTTAATTTTGGACCACCATGAATGGATCACACGTCCCGCGTGTCAACATAGATTAACCTAACACAAATTGCCAAAAAATCAAAATCAAGTTGGATGGAACTTATTTTATGATTAAGTTAAAAATCTCAACTCAATCTAATCCTAAAAAAAAAATTAAAAAATGTATAACACATGAGTTGATTGCAAAATTAAAAAACAGAATAACTATAACGCCTCCTCACCACATTAATATTAATATTATGTTTAAGGTTTAATCCTTTACTACATCTCTATTTATGTACGAATGTCTTAATTGGGTCCTCGTTTTTTAAAGTGTATCAAAATGGTCCTTAATTTTGAAAATTGATATCAATTGAGTCCTTCCCGTTAAGTTGGCTGGACGGCGTTAAAAAAATTGATGAGTGGGATGCTGAGATGACGAACGAACGTTCTTCCACCAGCGAACGAACGCTCGTCCACCAGCGAACGAACGCTCGGCGACCACTGAACGAACGGTCGTCCAGTGTGGAACGAACGGTCGTCCAGCGGTAAGAGGTCGACGAGCGTTCGTTCAGTGGTGGACGAGCGTTCGTTCACTGGTGGACGAGCGTTCGTTCGTTATCTTAGCATCTCACTCATGAATTTTTTTAACGCCGTCCAGCCAACTTAACGGAAAGGATTCTATTTATTTTAATTTTCAAAATTAAGGACCATTTTGATACACTTTAAAAAACGAGGACCCAATTGAGACATTCGTACATAAATAGGGATGTAGTAAAGGATTAAACCTATGTTTAAAGTAAGTTGATTTCAAACAAATAAATAAATGATTATTTAAACACGTGTTCTTTCCCATTTTAATTATTATTAAAATATTTTCATAACATATTTTTAACAATATTTGAAGTATTATTTTTTTATATACTATTTTCTTTTATGATTTATGATTTATGATTATTTAATCATTTAATAAAATAAAAAGTAAAAAATATATTTTATTTTTATTTCTTAAAATAAGATTATTTAAAAAATAATACATGTTTATTAATAGTAAAACATAAAAACCTGTGATGAAATAATTTTGTTTTAAAAAATTTATAATTGAAAAATTATATTTAACATTTTTATATCAAATAATAATATAAATATTTTTATTATTGAATATTCTTCTTCTCTTTTATGTAAAAATTAAATTAGTTTTATCTAATAAAAATTAGCAATGATATATATATAACTCCATATAAAGTTTTAAATAGTTATATTTAAAGTAGAATAAATTAAAAGTTATATTTAATAATTCATTTCAAAGGTTTAAAATATATATTTTTAATAAAAAAAATTACACTTTTAATATTATGATTTTTGTTTTATTTAATAGTTCATTTAAAAGGTTTAAAAAATATATACTTCTTAATATTATAATTTTTGTTTTATATTTTTTTATTCATTATTTACTATTTCCACCTTCAAATGTAATAACTTATAATTTCTAAAACAAAAGGTAAAAGCTAACAAATTAATTGTCTTAAAATATATCACTAATGCATTTATATTGTCATCATAAAAACATACATTAAACCTACATTGATTAGATGAGTCTATAAACATGCACTAGATGAGTATAAAAAAAATATAAGTTTAACAATACACATTGGATAGTTTTATCCATACATTAACTAGATAACTATTGAAAAAAAAATTAGACAAGTCTAGCGATATACATAGATGAGTCTATTTATATATTAATTAGATCAGTATAGCAAAAAACATTAGACGGATCATTTCATTCATTAATTAAACAAATATACAAAAATTATTAAACACATTTTACAATACACATTATACCAAATTGTTCATAATTACTATAACAAAACATATTAGACAAGTCTAGCAATATTCATTAGAAGAGTATATCCATATACTAATTAGACCAATATACCAAACAAATTAGATGAATCATTCCATTAATTTATTAAACAAATATAACAAAAATACATTAAATGGGTCTATCGATGCACTGATTAAACAAGTCTAATAATATACATTAAATGAGTTTGTCCATAAAATCAATAGACAAATATAGCAAAAAAATATTAAACAAGACATTTCATATATGATTACACGAGTTTTGGAATACTCATTAGTGTCTAAGCACTGATTAGATGAATTTACCAACAACATACAATGATAAGATGATTTTATTAATATACATTAGACAAGTTTATACATACACAAATTAGACAAGTTTATTAATACAATAGAAGTTTGTGCACTCATTAATTGGACAAGTCTTGCAATACATTTTAAACAAGTATGAACAAACACTTATTAGACAAATTTGTCCATATCCTAATTAAACAAGTTTAACAAAAATCATTAGATGAGTCATTACATACATTCATTAAATGAGTGTAAAAATACTTATTAGACAAGTTTATTCATAAATTAATTAATGAGTCTATAAACAAATACTAGACTAGTTTGTCCATTGATAAGACAAGTTTAGCAAAAAAAATTACACAAGTTTTTTTACACAAATTAGTCAAGCTTGTTGATACACATTAAACTAGTTTGTCCATTAACTGATTAGACAAGTCTTGCAATACATATTAGATAGATTTGAACATACACTCATTATATGACTCTAGCAGTACACATTATATGAGTGTGACCATATACTTATGCGACAAGTCTAGCAATACATAATAGAAGAGTTTGTCAATGCATTAATTAGATGAGTCTAGGAATACACATTAGACAAGTCTTTTCCTACACGTATTGGACGAGTATTGAAAAAAATATTACATGAGTAACAATACACATTAGACGATATTGTAGATACATTAATTAGAAGAGTATAACAAAAATATATTAGACAAGTCATTTCGTACGTTGATTAGATGAGTTTAAGAATACTTTGATTAAACTAGTTATCGATGAATTGATTAAACCAAATTAGCAATACACATTAGACAAGTCATTCATATATTGATTAGATGAGTCTAACAATATTCATTAGATAACATTCTTCATACACAGATTAAACGAGTCTATTAATACACATTAAACGAGTATGTTTATTTACTGATTAGATAAATCTTGCAATATACATTAGACGTGTTTGTCATACACTAATTAGACAAGTTTAGCAATATACATTAGACAAGTCTATCTAACACTAATTAGACAAATATTTTTTGTATAAAAAATAAAATAAGTCATTCCATGCATTAATTAGACGAGCCTAAGCATATGCATTAAGTGAAATTATTCATCTAAACGAGTCTTACAACACACATTAGATGTGCTTGTTCATACACTGATTAAATGAGTAATATACATCAGACGAGTCTGTTTATATACATATTATATGAGTTTTTTTATACACATATTATACGAGTCTATTAATACACATTAGACAACTTTATTCATTCTCTGATTAGATATATTTTGTTATACACATTAGACGAGTTTATTTATACACATTAGATGAATGTAATAATACATATTAGATGAATGTGTTCATATACTAATTAGATAAGTCTAACATTATATA